GTCATGGTGGTCGGCAATGTCAAAATAAAAGTGAATAAAATTTATTAGGTAAGTAAAGTTTTGTTTATTATTGTTGTTATTTATCAAATTATTTCTAAATTAAATAAATTTATAGTTATTTTTGTAACGGTTACAGTATTAAAATATTAATAATAATGAAATAAACATGATGCACGAAATTTTTTTTTTTTTACGAAATAAAAATTTTAATTTGTAATACAATTATACTAAATGCGTCAGATGACAGTTAACGCGTGTCAGTAGTCAATTATTAACAGACGCACGTCAGGTGTCGATTGATATCTAACGTGCGTCAGCTGCAGCTGACGCAAATCGACACTTGACGCACATCATATATATAAAATTATTAAAAAGATATGAGAAATTCTATTTAAAATAGCTTTACAATATTATTATTTTTAAAATACCCTGGAATATCAAATTCATATTCCTTTGAAACATATTATAAAGAAATTTAGTGAAATGCCTTCATTAATAGATACTCTTATAAGTTTATATATCTAAAGACTTACTATGTGCACTTAATAGTCCAGCATAAACTGCATCTGGAAATTGAGTAATGGAAGGTTAAACAATAGAATGATAAATATATGAATTTATTATCTAATACTATTAATTAAAGTAATCATTTAAGCAAATATTATCACACCTTGTTTCAAATTTATAATGAATATTTAGAACAAAACCAAGAAATTAAGGAACCTAAATATCTACTTGTATAAATTGTTTTTGTGTGCATTGTAGCAAATTTGGGCCCAAGTTTCTCTAGTTTATTTTATACAAAATCGAACGATCGGCACGTTAATTATTGACGTTGTAAATAACATGTACAGTAACGATAAAGGTAAGAGTGGAAAGATAAGTTTTAAAAATATTATAACGCAAAAAGGAATAAAAAAGTAATTTAAAAGAACTATCAATCTCAAACATATATACTACATTTTTTATATATAAAGTATAAATGTATTCATAATGTTCAAAACCGACTCATTATCTTTTTCGACCATCTTTTTCGTTTAAGGTAGTCACAAAATCAACTTTGTATACTATCAATTTAATAGTGTTTATGGGTATTTTTTATTTTTATTTATTCTAATTGTGATGTTATACTTATGACAATTGTATATTATTTTGTAATGAAGAACGACCAAATACATTATCATCATAATCATAAGAACTTGATTAGATACACTCTAAGATTTAGATAAATTTATAAAAATATACATCACCATCAGCTTAATATATTTTTGCATTGCCTTTTAAATATTTTATTTGTATTTGTAAAAAATTGATTAAGAGATTGTTCAACTCTGCTAGTTATTGTAAATTACCAGATAATCTAACTCTGAAGAATTTTTAGTCTAGTTTTGCTTTAAGCCTAAATCCTCCTAAACTAATTTCGCCTCGACCAAAACTCTCTGATTAAGATAAATCATATTTAGAGGCCTTGTGATAAATCAAGGAATCTAAATTTCCAAGTTTATTTAATCTTTGTTTGTAAATATCGTTATATTCTTGGAGTTAATTTTTGGAACCTGAATTAAAAATAAGACGAATTTTCTGATAATTTTATTTTATTTTTTGTTTTTTATTATTATTTATTTTGTAAAGCAATTAAAAATTGCATGCACGTTTGACCTATTATTGACATTGGAATTGTTTAGTATCACAAGTGCGATTATGGGTTATATTCCAACCAGTACTATTATCAGTTGAACATATATCAAAGGTATCTCGAAGAAACTTAAGTTCTTTTATTTGACCATCTGAAGCAGCTATTACACAGTTATCATCTCCGATTGTTGGACAATAAATATGACCAGTATCACAACGTTGTCCACAAAATGAAGGTTTTGGGTCACATATTTGAACATTAAAACTTTGTAAGGTGGTGCTTATTATTGATGCCGCCATAGTGTTGTATGTATTTTGTTTAACAGAATTATATACGTCATCATCATTGTCAAGTAATTTATTATAATCCATCCTTTGATTAACAGTAAAACTAGCTAATATTGACTTGTTAGCAACAAAAAAATTATTGTATAATGTATCTTCAAAATGTAATTGAAGATTTTCACTTGCGGCTGATAGATATGATGAAATATCTGGGTAGGTTTTCCCGCTGCCGGTTAATGATTGATGAACATCGTCCGTTAAACTTGGAAGAAAGTATAAATTTACCATACTAGTCGTAAAAAATCCTAAATTATCCACCGACATCGCACTCCTTTTTACGGCGCCAGGCCTATGGGACCTATTCAAAGCTGCAAGGATTCGTGCAATATTCGGGTTTTGTGAATTTTGATAGTATGATGCGACCATCTTCATTGAATAACTTGAGCAAGGCATTCCTGTTTTAGCGCAATCAGCTCCGTAATCTATTACTTTTGCGTAATCACGATAAAGATCAAATGCCTTTAACATGGCTTTATCTCTCATTGCTTCATTTGTCCAACCTACTGCTGCATTTCTGGCCACCGATCCTTCAGCTGTTGACGCAATTACATCTTCTGCAGCACTAAGTTCGGCAGCGATTTCGGAGGTGGTTTCCACGGCAGCAGCTAAAGAATCTATGCCGGCAAGCAAAAATGTTCCAGCATAAGGAGTAGCAAGCATGACCACGAACATTGCTACAGGAATTAAAATCTCTTTGAGCAAGTTTCTTTTAGGTGGTGGCGGCGGCAGTGGGATCAATTCTTTTAAATTACTGGGAATCATTTTAATACTTAATTCATTAAGGGCATCATGGAACCCTCGATAGTGCCTCTCCCAATGATTGAAAAGCTTATTTGCCAAATTAATCATGTGATATGTAGCAACAGGATAATTATCAGGTTTGAACGAGCTGCCATTACTGAACTGAAGAGATGCAGCGTATGATCCAACTTCATGACCAGTCAAATAATCGATACATTCATCTACATTTTCTGTTTTATTAATTGGCCAATTGGGTGCATCGGGATGTTTACCTGCACTGCAGTACTGTGCAGTCAGATCAGTTGGAAATACATGATCTGGGTTCGGTGTTTCTTTCTTATATGTAATTTTAGGGGTCGGAATCAGTTTCATCGTGTAATTACTTAAATTGCAATTATAGTTGTTAAGGTTTTTTTCAGTATACGATGAAACTGAAATATCATCTCTGTTTATTTTCACCATAAAGCTGAAGTTGCAATCATAGGTACATTCCCACATAGTGATGTTTACAGTTGTTAAGGGTGGCTCATGCTTTAAAGTTTGAACATCCATGACTAAAAGAGACGTCGAATAAGAAATGCCATCATCGTCAATATGGAACGCCGCATAATCAGAAGGTACGTCCTGGTTGCACATATTAAAATCATGTTCTACGGTGACCCAATCAGCAATAACTGCCGATGAAAAATGTAAAAAAATGTATAATAGTAAACTTTTCTTCATGAATGAAATTTTATTTTTTTTCCTTGTCGAAAAACAAGTGAACCTTTTATATAGCTTTTAAACCATTTCGGTATCTACAACTTTTTTTTCATTAACCAATTTAAGAAAATCACGAGCAAATATTGTCAAACTCTTCATTTTACGATTTTCATAAGCTGCTTGTCGATCTCGAAACAAAACTGCATTCCTTATTAATTTTTTTAATTTTTTAAAAAATATACTTTTGTGGCTTTTAATTAAAATGTTTGTATTTTCAAATCCATTTTAAAAAAAAATGCAAATAAAACGTTCATTACATTTCAGACATTAACGTTTCGTTTCACACTCATGATCACTATAGAGGTAAAAAAATATGAAGTAGTACTTAATATCATAGACTGCGCCTCCAGATACAAGGCTTCAGTTCTGCTCACATCTAAGAATAGTTCAGAAGTTGCTAAAGCATTTAGAAGAGTATATAGTGATCGAAATAATCCATTGTCATTATGAATACCGTATACTGATGATGATCAACGAGATCGACGCACTTTTTATAAACATAAGATTATTTCTGCTCTCGGTTACTGTGTATCAAACTGTGGTTAGACATTTGAACTAAAAGTACTGCAGTTAAATCTAAAATACCAGACCAGTAGTTTCTTTATACCTGTGTATACAACCTATAACGTGGTTGGTCTGTTTTGAAACCAAAGGTTTGCTGATTACCCTTTTTCTTTTAATAATTACAATAAGACAACAACACCACAATAACAAGCAAAGATGATAAAATAATTTTAATTGTGTCTTGGATTCTTTCAATATAATTTATGAATTTGGGAACTTCTTTTGATTTTGAAAAAGAAGGGGCTCGATGGCCATATCCTGGACAGGAACCTGTTGGATTATCTATAGTTGGAACTGAAGTTAATGCTTTTCTTTATTATTATTATTTTTTTTTTTTAAAAAAAAAGAAAATAGTTCTGCAAACGTTTGTTGAGTCCTATTATAATTAATTAGATTGATACCGAATCTTTTACTACCTAACTTTCCTTTGTTTTTGTTCAAATAATAATAATAATCATCATATCTTTAATAAATAAAATGAAGAAATATAAAAATACAAAAAAAGAAAAAAAAAGAAAAAGAATATTGATCTACAAATTTTTTCTTTTTAATTAATTAGTAACAGTAAATCATTATGAACTTTCTTTTTTACCCAGAAGAAACTTATTATTAAATGAATCTATATATATAACTTCACATTTTCAAAGAAATCCGAAATATATAAATTGGTTTTTATTATAGTTTGCCTAAATAAATTGCAAATAATTATTTTACTGATTGGAATTTTAAAAAGCGATAATCACTATCTAGTACCATTTTAATTACTTTTTTTTAATTTTTTTTCCTTGTAAATCATTCAATATTTTTTAAAATTTAATATTATTTAAATTTTTTTCTGAAGTAAATTCTATCGATAAAATGATAATTAAAAAGGAACTCCATAAAACTAAATTTTGATTTGGCACTCATTATATTTGCTATACTTCCCGTTGCCAACGCAATTTTACATCAATTCATAAAAGATATTGGTTTGCTGCAGCTTGTCCTACGTTTGGTACTCGTGCAACGTTTACAACTGGTGGAGGATTGATGTTACCGGAGTTTTGAATAATATTATCGAATCCCAGGTATAGTATTTCAAAAAAAAAAAATTTCCGTTATAAAGAAATAGTAAATAAAATTAAAATTTTGGAAAATTTGCTACTAATTTGTTTCATTTTTACCTGAAGATGGAGCTTTAAGCCCCGAAATTGTTGAAAAATTATTGTGATCAATATTTCGAACCATTTGGTAATTTTGGTAAAATCTGCGACAACTCGAGATAGAGAATAAGCCAAAATAATATGCTGAAGTTTAAACTGTGTTAAACTACGTTAGCTTAGTTTACAGAATTAATATTGTTAAAATAACTGTCAAATTTAATATGACAACGATTGGTGTCATGGTCAAGAAAGATTTTTTAATAAAAATAATAATAATATTTATGAAATACTTAATTGAATCATTTACATTTATTTTTAAAAAATATGATACAAATAATTATCAAAGAATTATTAAAGGAATACTGCAAAAAAGATCGAGAGTTTATAGAAAATAATTTTTTTTTATTATTAATTTTTTTTTATTTTTTAATATAATTATTATTTTATTTTATAAATTTATTAATAAGTTATTTCTAGGAAAAATTTAAAGTATTACGTATCGTAACCCTTTGAATTATTACACATCATAAATCTTTGAATTATTACACATTGTAACCTTTCAAATTATTACACATCATGACCTTTCAGATTATTATGTATCATAAACTTTTGAATTATTATGCATCCATAACTTTTCAAATTATTACGTGTTATAAACCTTTGAATTACTAGGAAATGTGAACCATTGTTGATCAAAATCAAAGATTCATTGGTTGAAGATCACGTGGGAAGACAGAAACGCAATAATTACGTGACCGAAAATATTTTTCATAGCATATTATCCTTCGCTTCGCTCCAGACAATTATGCTTCGTAAAACTTATGACGTAAGGTTTTGAAGAATTTCATTTCATAAGGTGCAGAGCATTTTATAAAGTTTCAAAGTATTTTATCTCGTAAGGTAATAGAATATTATGTTTTGTAAGATTTAATAGTCCTGTATCCTTACGTAAAATATGTAATATAATTAATTAAGATATATTTAATTTTATTAAATAATTTAAATATACTAAAAATTTTAAAACAATAAAAAAAAATCCAAGACATTTACATTTTTAATAAAATGGTTTTTAACTTTTTTTTAAACATTCCTTTTTTATAAATTATCTATTGTTTAGCACATGTTGAGTACTTAAAGTTCAATATTATATTAATAGCTTTCTATGCTACATTTTACTATTAAATAACTTTTAATTATATTGAAGCCTGCTATCATGTAATACAACTTAATAATTGATTATTTGGATTCATTTATATTATAAGCAGATCATTTATTAGAAATGATTAAATTTATCAAAAAATTAAAAAACCCTTAAGTTAAAAATTAGATTCTTCAATCATATGTTCAAATCTAATTCTAAATTTACATATTCTTAATGTTACTAATAATTTAGTATTTTTATTAGCATTTATATCTTTGAATTAAATATAAAATCTTGAAATTTGTATTGATATTAACCTTAATTAAATCTAAGTTAATATATAAATATAGTAAAAAAACAACATTACAATTAAAAAATATTATTATACTTATCTATATTATTATTATTTAAGGATTTTATTAATTCTAATATTTTAATTTTTTTGAATTTTTATTTTTTTTGATTATGTTTTCTTTTTTGTTAGCCTCTTTTAGCTTTTACTATACTGTAATAATGAAAGTGACAAAATTGTTTTCCTTTTTTAAAAATATACTTATAATATAGTATTTTACATATGCAAGTTTTGTAATAACATAAATATACATGAAACTGAAATTAAAATGGTCAAAATGATTATGATGGTTAAAATAATTAAAATTGATTTTTTCTATTTGTTAAAAAATTTGAAAAGTTAAAATCAATTATAATGGTTAAAATGCATTATAAAAGTCAAAATTGATTATAAAAATCAAAATGTATTATAATGCAAATGTAAGAAAAATCATAATTTAGCTAAAATTGAGATTACATAATGTTATACATATATAAAAAAAACTTTAGTTCTCATTAAATCTATAAAAGTATTAATATAAAATATTACAAAAATTCTAAAAAGAAATTTTTTGTATCAATCAATTAATTTAGGCTAAAATAATATAATAAAGACGAAATAAGTAAATTTTATCAGAATTAAGTAAAACAGATAAAATTTGCTTAAATTAATAAAAGTAAAATAAATAAATTTTACTAGAATTAATAAAATATCTAACTGTATATAGCAAATATAAAGAAAGTTAATCATTTTACAAAAGACTATAACTTTTATTTATCATATTTATCATGATAAAAAAACTCTTTTTCATTGAATTTTGTCTAAGAATTTTATATAAAAATATGTAATTTTAAGGGTAGCTATGACTTAATCTATAAAAAATAAACATAAACTTTTTTTTAAAACTTCTTTCTCTTTTTATTCCTCATATTTATTTTTAAAAAATAGTTTGTTATTAATCTAAACTGTAATATTTTTTGTTAAAATATTTTTTTCACCATTTTTTTTAACTATTTTTCTTATTTATTTTTCTTTTCTTTTTATCTACAGAAAATAGATATTAGAAGTATCTAAAATAATAATTAGGATTGATATAATTTTGAGCATAAATAAATCTCACATGATAACTATCCAATTACCTTCATAAACAATAATACTCTTTAGAAGATCTCTAATATTATATAGCCTACTGATCTTAATGAGAATTTTATTTTCTTATAATTGCATGATTTAGACTTTATAAATATTTATAGATAGCTATAATCTAAATTAACAGACATTTTAACGTGAAAATTTAAAAGTACTGAAAAGTCTTTAATAAAACTTAATAATATAGATACTTTTATATTAGAAGATTATTGTAACTAAAAATTAATCAAATAATTTAATTAGAAATTTCTTGAATTTATGTATCTTTTTAACCATTCTTTTTATTAAATATTAATCTCAAATTTGTTAGTTTTAGAAGATGTAAATTTCTTAAAAGTAGGAAATTAATGAATAGTTTAAGAAAAGTATTGTAATATTAATACTTTCTATTAGCTTTTTTTATTGAAGAGCTGCTTATTAGAAATGGTTCTTTCAAGTATCTGAAAGGGATTACAGTGATTAATCAATTTAAACAAATTTAAAATAGAGCTATAAAGAATAACTACAATTTTAGTTTAGATTTTTTATTTTTTTTTTATTTTTATAATTAATGCATTTATAAATATAAATCTATTTTAATAAAACTTGTGGTAGTATCACATTATTAAAAGTCAAAAAAAGCTTTTTATTTATTACTGTTTATATTATATGTGTATATAACTATACAGATTATTTTTTATTTATGTAATATTCATTTTACAAAATTTATTTTTGGTAATTTTCATTATTATATAGTCAGAATTATTATATAATGATACTATCTAAATATAAAAATTATTTTCATATTTGAATATGATTATTATTTTAACTATTTTAATCTTTATAATTGATTTAGATTCTTATAATTTATTTTGACTTTTAATTTTGATCATGATCTTATAGAAATATTTATATTTTTGGATTTTAATTTTAATTTATGTATAAATATAAAATCTAATATTTGTATTTATACAATTTATAACAGAATAGGATCTAAAATTTTTGTTTTTATATACTATAAAAAATTTTTTTCATAATAATATAAGCTTATTTGTTAAATTAATAAAAAATTTTATGTATAATTTATAATCAATTATAGTTTATACCATTTATTTAAATTGTAATTAATTGTAAAGAATTTTTTTTATGTTTTTTTTTACTTCTAAAAAATGAATTTAACTAAAATTTATTTTTTTACAATCAAATTATCAAAATACTATTAAAATATTAATAAAAAAATACTTTAAAATAAAAAGAATATAAGTTAAATTTTATTAATTAAATTAAATATTTTATAATAAAATTTCAATTGTAATTAATACTAAAAATATGCCTTTAATAAAAAATTTAACTGATAATGAAAAATCAAAAATAATTTTATTAATTTACTATATTTAACTTTTTAATGATAAACTGATTTTTTAATTTTCTATCCTTTCAATTGTTTTTCTTATAAAGTTATAAGCAATTTTTATTTATTAATTATAATTATTTTTAAAATTAATAAATTTATAATAAATTTTATGATATTTTCTAAGTAAAATTAAAATAAAAATGTAATTAACTAGTGATTTTTTAAAGATAAATAAATAATAAATTATCATAAAAAAATTAAAATTTTAAACTAATATATATTGCTATTTATTAATCTTTAAAATATAAAAATACTATCATTTAATAGAACTTAATGTGATAAATCCAATAAACTAAATTTTATATTTTTGTAATTATTATATAATAAATTATTTTTACTAATCAAAAATTGAAAATTAATATATATTGATAATTATAAATTTTAAAAGTTTAAAAATACTATCATTAGATATATTATCATTATAATATGATAAATCTAAAAATTTTATTTTATTTTTTACAATTATTAAATATTAAAATATTTTAAGTTTACTTAAATATTTTAGAAACAATTTTATATTTATAGTTTAAGAGATAATAAAAACTAAATTACAAAAATCTAAAAAATCAAAATCAATCAAAAATAAGTCAAAATATAAATTAAATTAACTAGTATTTTTTCAAATAATAAACTGATTTTTTTACTTTATAATAGAAAAAATAAATTTTAGTGATAAGTAAAAAAGAGTTAATTTTTCAATTTTTTATTATTTATTTATTATCTTTATATTTTTTTAGATAATTTTGGGATTAATTTTCTATTTTTATTATTTTATTTATTATTTAAACATTTTTTTAAATGATTTTGAAGGATTTTAAAAGAAAATAAATCATATTTTATTATTTTATTATTATTTTATTTATTTATCTTTATATTTTTTAAATAATGCTAATATTATAATAATTAATATTTAAAATAAGTTTAATTTTAAGATTTTAAAAGAAAATAGATTATTATTTTATTTATTTACTTTTGAAATAATAGTGATATTATGATAATTACTATTTAGAATAATTTTATAAGATTTTAAGAAAAATAAATTATATATTTATTATTTTATTATTATTATAT